TCACCATCATCATCATCATCACCATTACCATCCCCATCACCACCACCATCGCCATCAACATCACCATCACCATTACTATTACTATTATTATAATTATGGACATTTTTATTTAATCTGTGAGATAATTTACACTTTACAACTTTGCGGGATAACCTAGGCTAAGTTGCTATCAGTGTCTTTCGTGATATCTTATTGTCATTCCTTATCATTCTAACAATTACACAAGTTCTCTTTTCCATTGTTCTCTCTTGCAAGAGTGTTTTTAATAGCGATAAAATTGGTTGATTTCTTGAGGGTAGGCGGCTTCTAGTGTTGCAGTAAACAAAAGCCTGTGTTTTTGTCGCTTTTCGTGTCCTAAAACGAGGCATTAAAGGAAGCATGGTTATCGCGTGGGCATGCATGGTTACGAGCTAAAAATAGCATCAATGATTCTAAAAATAGCATCAAAGTGTGCACATGATGGGGCACGGGGATTCCTTCTCTTAGTTCATTTTCTCTTGGTCATGAGCTATTTACAATTACCATCAATTTAAAATACACCTACTTACAAGAAGGTATTGTCATACAAGAATAGAACATTACTATTCTAATGAGAAAGGAATACATTAAAAGACAAAAGAAAAAGTTCAGCTTCAGTGATCTTCTTTTGTTTCTTAACATAATTCCTATCCCACTAAATCATTAATGTTCTATTTTCGTATGACAACGTTCTTGCAAGTAGGTGTATTTATATATGTACATGTATAAAATGAATCTCTGATTAGTAATTTCAAAAGAAATAAATAAATAAAACAATTCTGTTTAAGAAACTTAACGACAATTTGTAAATGAATTCATTCAATATGTCTCTAAAATGTTAATAAATATCTAATATCCCTTAATTATTTTTATTATTATTACTATTATCTTTGTTTATTTAAACTTTCAGTATGGGTAATACTTTACAAGAATAAAGCGGAACTAGTTCTAGGCTATATCCTTAGTGTGTCACTAACTAATGTCTATTCAAAGGTGTAGAATTATTATTATTATTATTATTATTATCCCTTCATTGCATAGCAAAATAAGAATGTTATTTTTATTTTTATTATTTTTATTTTTATGGCAGTAAATACTTCTGGATGCCCAGACCTAAGGTAGTTGGGCGGAAGTCGTAGCCAACACGTGAGCAGTATGATAAAACCTAAAAACTCCTAAAAATAAAGTGCACTTAAAATGATTCAYGTTCATAATTATACACTGGCAGTCCAATATAACACTTCACTTCTAAAAAKTTATGGCCGTTTTACGTAATTGTACATCATTTTATATTTCCGGTACAAAAACTGCCCCCTTGAAACAATCTTTCGTTCGGATAAATACTCCTCCCTATGCGTTCCTTGCCATTCAGTCTGTTTTACAAAGCAACAAATATTTTCCGCGCAAAGCTATCAGATCATGGCCGAAAACAATCTTGGTTTTTCCGAGGACAACGAAAGTCCTCTTAACTTACACAGCTTGTTTTCACAACAGGCGAAAAAGTTCCCAGCTAACGTTGCAGTCGAGTACCAAAACGTTGAATACAGTTATTCCTATCTCGATGAACGAAGCACTCGATTAGCGAGGTTTCTTTTGGAAAAGTTTCCAGTACGGCTTGAGAGTGTTGTAGCAATTTTGCTCCCTCGTTCTGCAGAGTTATACATCAGTATGCTTGGCGTGCTGAAAACTGGAGCAGCGTATGTGTGCATTGATCCACAGCACCAGAGAAGTCGTCTTGATTTTATTTTGAAAGACACCAAAGCAGTTTTGCTCGTTACAACACATGGTGTCCAAAAAGAACTAGGCGTAGAGCCTGAGGATACAAGTGTCRTTGACATCAAGAGTGCTTTGGTTAACAAAGAGATCAAGTCGTTTAGTGCCGATCCGCTAAACGTCACAGTACAACCTTCAAATCTCTGTTACATCATCTATACATCTGGATCAACGGGAAACCCAAAAGGCGTGGAGATTGAACACAGAACCGTGTTGAACTTTATTGACGCGGAGTTAGAGATCTATCCTGTTGGTGTACGGGACAGAGTTCTGCAGGGATTTTCTCCGAGTTTTGATGCTGCAGTGGAAGAAATCTGGCTCGCCTTCAGCACAGGTAATCATTAGAACTATCAGACATAGTATCAATAGCTCGTATCTACTGGCAATAAATACGATCCCAAGAATGAAAAGGAATGAATGGATGAAAGGAAGGAGGGGAAAGGTAGAAAGTAAATCATTGCGCATAGCTGTGTTCCAGTGTCAGACGGGACTGGCTAACAGAGGCGCCTCATTGCTTTCCGTCCCTCCGCGTTGAGCTGCCCCACTGCTGTATACTTGAGGTGGTGAATATGAAAAGCCGGATAACGCGTTTTTATACTTCATGTTTTTCACGACAAGATACTGCAGACTCGAAAAATATCCACCCTTACTGTACCCTAACATGTCTAATAAGATATATATACACATTCGATTGCAGAAAGGTTGTAGCATAAATATATATATGCATCCTTCAGTGATACATTATGTAATAGGCAAGAATAGGTACATAAATCAGACACTCATAGATAAAGTTGAAGGAACTTAAAGTGCTTATAAGCCTTTGCACAATATTTTCAGAATTGATTCTTTAGATAGCGGATAGTTGATTGTGAAGATATTTCGTCATTTGAATGTTGGGTCTTTGAGATTACGAAGGTTTATATTCCCAATATGTTAATGACCATGACGTAACATAAGGGATCATTTAATATACAGCATTGCACTCGTTCTGGAATACAGTATTTTAAAAGCATCACCCTTTTACTCATGACTCACGTAAAGGTTCTTACAAATTTGTTTTCAAAAAATGTCCAGTATTCAATACTAAAAGTTGCCACAAAATAACTCAAATCCCTTATGTTACGTCATAGCCATTAACATATTGGAAATATAAACCTTCGTATCTCAAAGACTCAACATTCAAATGACGAATTATTTTCACAATCAAATATTCACTATTTAAAGAATCAATTCTGAAAATATTGTGTAAAGGCTTATAAGCACTTTAAGAACTTTTCATTGACCTATATTGGCATGACATACGAATTGGCAGTGGACGATTCAAGGCAAGTGATTGTTACCCAAAAAGGCATCACATAGTGTCCTTTTAAGGACTTGTAAACCTTACCCTTATTCTTATCATTTTTCAACTCCAAAGGGGGGGAGGGGGGGTGGTGCTAGTCATGCACCAATCCACCGTAACCCCTTGGTTCCGTATATCAGATTCAGTTCAGCTGTCATGCATATAGCTTCATTAATTAGTTTACGATTAACGTGACTTCTTTAGTGACAATAATGACCCTTGAAGTAACAAATCATTCATTGAAGGGTAGAGCACGCGCTCGAGTTTTCTATTTCTTCAATAGTTATGTGGGCATGACACTAGCGCTAGCTAGCCGTACTTGCTCAATCTTGTCTGACGCTGTATGTTGTCTATAGGTGCCACACTTGTTGCTGCCACACCGGAGGTAATGCAGTCAGGACCAGACCTTCCAGCCAATCTAGAGAGACTAAACATCACAGTGTTCTCGACTGTGCCTACCCTACTGAGGACTCTAGACATCACGAGTGTAAATCTGCCTCTTTTGAAGCTTTTGATTGTGGGAGGAGAGGCTTGTGGAGAAGATCTGATCCCGTGGGGGGAGGGAAGAATGTTTGTGAATTCGTACGGTCCAACGGAAACGACAGTGGTAGCTACGGCGTGTGTTGTCGCGAAGGGAAAGACGATTACCATCGGGAAACCGCTGAAGAACTACGAGGTTTGTGTGCTGGATGACAAGCTAGAAGAAGTGCCAAAAGGACAAAACGGAGAACTGTGTATCGGTGGAARATGTTTAGCAAGGGGATACAGGAACCTGCCTGACAAGACAAGCCAACAGTTTATCCTGCACCCGGTACACGGGAAAATATACCGTACCGGGGACTTGGTACGGTACACTGAAGATGATGAGTTGGAGTACCTTGGAAGAATCGATGACCAGGTCAAAATAAGAGGTTTCCGGGTTGAAGTCAGTAGCATTGAGTCGCACGTACAAAGACAAGACAATGTCAAGATAGCGGCAGTAGTAGTGACGTCACCATCACCAGGGCAACAGTCTGTCATAGCACACATCACCCTAGAGGATAAAGCTAAAGGATTTGATGCACTCGCTGCTGTCACCAACATAAAGGCATCGCTACCAGACTACATGGTACCTAATGGTTACGTCATCCATGACGTCATGCCCACACTGGCCAGCGGTAAAGTAGACAAGAAGAAGCTGAAAGACCTGAAAGCTGAAATACAACCTTTCAAAGCAAGCAGCACTTACATTGCTCCTCGTAACGACACGGAAAGGATGATATCTGATGTCTGGCAAGCGAGTCTTGGCTGCCAAAATATTTCTATTAAGGAGGACTTCTTTGATCTGGGAGGGCATTCGGTCATTGCAGCTATGGTTGTAAGTGAGCTGAGACGACGAGGCAGTGATATATCTGTACGAGATCTCTATCTTCATCCAACCATGGAGTCACTATCGAAGTCCATCACCTCAAAAGCCTCAGGAAATAAGTCAGATGACGTGTCGGTTCACATCCCTACCACACCAAGAATTGGACAGCCGCGCTATTACTTGTGTGGAATACTTCAAGGCTTATGGCTACTTCTGATGCTCAGCACGTCAATCACCTTTGTAATGTTCTTGTTTTTAACGTTCCTCGACGTATACGAGTTAGTCTACACGAGTGCTGGAATCCAAGGAATCACGTGGTTGTTGCTAGGTCTTCTGTTGCTATCAATACCGCTGTACATTACCTACACTATTTTGCAGGCCTTTATTATCAAGAAAATATTTCTTGGTTGCGTGGAGCCTGGGATCTATGCGCTGTGGAGCATGTATTATCTGAGATGGTGGATTGTCACGTGGACGATGTAAGTATACAGGAAGCCCAGTACGAGGCAATTGATTTCAGTTTCTTGTGTCGCGAGCGTTCAGAGACATCTGAACGTAAAACACTGAATTGGGCCCCGCGTGATGCAATACATTATATCTTTACCGCCACTTGGTTGGCTCAGTTGGTAGAGCGTCGCACCGTAAGTTCTACGGGAGGTCGTGGGTGCGGTGACCTTGCAATGATAGAGTGGTATGTGAATAATTGTCCAAGGTGTTAAAAAAGGTTTGTTGTATGTAATTGCAAGGTCACTGCTGTTCTTGCTTCGGTGCGCAAGCACGGTTACCTTAATTTCGAGATGACGAATGGAACTGTGAAGGGGACTATATCGTAAAGCGTATTGAGAGGCAAGTATAATGCGCTATCTAGCTTTCAATCATCATTGTCATATCGTTTTTTGTTGTTGTTGATGCAGGTCGTGGGTACCTACTCATCTGTTCTCTGGTACGCCATTGATGACCATGTACATCAGACTGATGGGTGGACGGATAGGTTCTGGGGTCTACTATAACACCTATTCTATCTGTGATTTTGACCTGCTGAGCATTGGATCCAGCGTATGTATCGAGTCTAATGCATCGCTTGACACTCACCGGGTCGACCAAGGGACGTTGTTTCTTGGACGCATCATCATTGAAGATCACTGCTCCATTGGAACGAGATCAGCCATTGCATTCAATAGTATCATCAGGAGAAACACACGCGTAGAACCGCTAACCTTAGTGACTGATAACAGTGTGATTGAGGAGAATTCACACGTTCATGGTTCGCCGGCGACGATCATCAGTAACTGCAGTGATGCCAATGAACAGATTAGTCAACCAAAACCATGGTCTTGGTCAATATGGGTTGCCTGCGGTCAAGTAGGGTTCATGGCCTTGTATGGACTCGTGTTTGCAGTCCCGTATGTACTGGTCGTCATGGTAATCGTGATGGTGCCGTATCTTAAAGATGCCTTCTATGAGCTTAAGATGGATATCATTGCTATGGTGATTCCTGTCATTGCAGTCTTCAGTCAAACAATGCATCTTCTACTTACCGCTGCCTTAAAATGGCTGCTGGTCCGTCGCCTTGATCAAGGTACTTTTTTCATTAATTCTTCAACGTTCGTTCGCTACTGGATACTGGAAAGAATCATTATTATAGTCCTAGAGTCAAGTAAAGAGCTCTTTGCAACTCTCTACACCAATCTATGGTTAAAAGCTTTAGGAGTGAAAGTCGGGCCACATGTAGAAGTATCAACAGCCTTCAATTTTGTGCCCGATTTGCTGGAGCTTAAAGAAGGAAGTTTTGTCGCTGATCACGTGTCATTAGGCGGCGCTGTCTTCAAAAACGGTCACTTTTCCCTCACAAAGGCCGTCATTGGTCAGCGGACGTTCCTAGGCAACAACAGTGTAGTTCAAGCCCAGTCCTTCGTCAGTGATAATGCATTGATTGGCGTTCTGAGTATCACACCTGATATTGTTGAAAGCAAGACTTTCTGGTTGGGTTCACCGGCTTTCCGTCTTCCAGCACGAGCTCAAGCCAACAAAATCCATTCTTCATCACGTACCTTCAACCCACCTTGGTACTTGTATGTTAGTCGACTGATATGGGAATTCTTCAAGCTTTTTTCCCCGCCATTAGTTCGACTGTATGCACTGTTTGGGTTCTGGATGCTTGTTGCCAAAGTATCTTATCCTGTGTTCCAAAGAGGCACGCCACTCTTCTGGTTATCAGCTTCCTTTTGGTCCCTAGGAATCGTAATCTGTGTCTTATCACTGGTCATCCTGATGAAGTGGATTCTGATTGGTCGATTCCGTCCCGGTGAAAGACCATTATGGAGTAGCTTCGTGTGGCGGTCAGAGCTGATAGCTTCATTGGAGGAAAACATCGCGATGCCCTTTGGAGTATCAGGCTTGCTCGGCACACCGATGGCCGCGTATTGGTACCGAGCGATGGGAGCTAAGATAGGATCACGTGTCTACATGGCCAGTGAATACCTGACAGAAGCAGACCTGATTGAGATAGGAGATGATTCTTGTATAGCTGGTGGCTCTACTATCCAATCACATCTCTTTGAAGATCGAGTCATGAAGATGGACAGACTGATCATTGGTAATGAGTGCACTGTCTGTAGTGACTCTATCGTACTCTATGGCGCCAAAATGGAAGACCGCTGTACGCTCCTGCCTTTATCGCTTTGCATGAAGTCAGAGCACCTTAAACACACCGCAGTGTATTGTGGGATACCTGCCAGGGAAGTTGCTGCCGAGTTGCATCATGGGTATCACATTAATTGGCAGCTGTCATTAAAGCTGAAAGAAAAATATTTAGGGAAAAGCATAAGCAATATTGAGCTGACTGGCTTTAAAAAGCTGGACGAGGAGTCTTAAACTACGTTTCCTGGCTCATATTGGTACTAATGGTAACCCGTGAAAACGTCAGGACATAGTTTTTGAATAGTGTTAAGAAGTCAATAAATTGAAAAATAAGCCATACAAAAGGAATGTGTCTCCAGTTTCGATTTCACCTTATGTAAAATGGAAGAGAGTTCCATAATTTTTGTCCAGAAACTCGCTGAAAGCACGGTCCCCCTCAAGTAATATAAGGATGATTCGGCTTTTCAGTCGATAAACTTAATTTTATGATCTTGAATATAGAGTTTCTCGAGCTGTGATTGGTCGAGCAGCCGGTGATTCTGAGACGATTATCACCGCTTGAGCGGTGATTATGAGTTTTTTCAAAGAGTTTTCCTGATCGGAAACTATTAAAAACGTTTTTATCCTAAATTTCGACTTTTCTTTGATATTCAAGTCGAAAATTATAATAAAACAATTATTATGACTTTCACAAGAGGGGTGTCTATTAAACAGGTTCTACCAGAAAAGCGAGGAAATGGAGGTTGGCTTACTAAGGATAAAACTGAGAAATTTTAGCAAAAGGGGGATGTCTAGCCACCTCCCTTCACCACCCTGGATCCGTCTCTGAAAGAGTCTATTTAACGATTTGAATCTATGAATGAACAGATAAATTAGAAACACGTTGCATCGAGCAGCCCCCCTCAAAAATTGGATTWAAAAAGTTTCCTCTTTATTTTTCATTTTATGGAAGATAAGTCTATTTTCTTATAGTTTTAGATAGCTTTCTTTAGTCTCGTACCTCGGCGCCCAACTTTCATTCATTCGAGTGGGATTCCTGTGGACATGGCGGGAAACTTTAATTATGAAACGCGTACGTGTTTTTTGGCGGGAAAATGGAACACTTATCAAATTTGCCCCCACCCCACCCCCCATGGTCGAGATCTCGCTTCAAATGATTTGAAGTCCATTTGAAGGAGTTTGAAGTAGAATTTTAGCTGGAAAATGCGATACTTGAATGAAGATATGAGTCAAAATCTTGCAGTAGACATGGTGGGAAAGTATCATTGGACTCATTACAGCATTGAACTGATGCAAGAGGTCAAATATTCAACTAGAATTCACATCTTAACGTAAGTTCGTTCAATTTGTATAATGCTCAGCTCTAAATGCAAACCAGGACACGATAATAACCTGAATCGGTTTTTTCCACAGTCTTTATAAGTTTTGCTCCATTCATTTACATTTTCTATCTTTCCTTGCCCTCCCTCATCTATAAAACTCTGCTATTTAAAGTGATTTTATTTTTATCTAATAATTACTAAGTTATATATATTTAAGTAAAATCACTTAACCACCACCACAACCATATTTTTTAGCTTCATTCTAATGTTTAATTTGTTTGTTGTTGTTGTTGTTGTTGTTGTTTCTATGGAATTACGTAAACTGTGTCCAGTACCAATTGAAATATTATTTTTGGGTTCAAAAAAAAAAACCATAATATGTATATAGATGAGACCCAAAATGGTACATGGGAAGTATGTTAATTAGATGTATCTAGTGATAGAACTAAGTGGAATATTCAAAAATTGTTGCACTGACAGAAAGTATGGAGGCTTTTAAAACATGATTCATATCGGCTGTGTATTTCAAATGAATACATCAGAGGATAAATTATGTCATTTTCCAGCATACCTTTGAGTCTCGGCTTATGTGTTATATGTTTTGACCCGATGATACGCAGATTCCACATTCATTGTTCTATATCCCTAGTTACAGTTGCTACATYAAACAAGTTAAAATGTGTTTTTGAAATGCAGAATTGATCAGAACTGGTCGCTGAAAATTGCAAATGTCTGTCTTAGAATAAATGCATCCTGAAGGCATTAAGAAAAAAATTGATAGCTACTAGAAATTCTTATGGACTCGAGATTGTTGGCTGGACATTCAACAACCCATTGTTTGGGTGTACACTCCAGCATAGCTGGGATGCGTTTATTGAGTATATACAACAAATAGTAACATAAATGATTATTCAATGAACTACTTTGTTTAAAACCTAATCCTCTATTTAGGATTAAATACTCTTCGTATATATATGCATGCAAAAGATCAAATCTATTGCTTCCTTTTCCAGGCCTAGTGACACATAGATCCCTTGCAGTCACGCAATCCACAAGGGGGTGACTAGCCACTTAATCTACCCCCTGGATCTGCCTCTGAGACCACATGCCATTACCTTTAGTATTGTCACTTTGTTTGTCACAATTCAACTAACTTTGCTATGTATTTTATGCATTGATAAATTATATTTAATTTAAGCTATATTAAGTATTATTTTTCATTTTGTTCCTAAAATACTTTAATATTTATTTTTGACATGAAAACATGTCATAGAGTGGTTTCATGGCATGTTATGTTGTAGAGAGAAGCAGCAGACATATTCTCCACTGGGAAAATGAAATCTCTTGTCATGTAAAAACAGTACATTGTTCTTGCTCTCCAACAAGGCTGTCATAAAACTACTCTATAGTCTTGATTAAATCAAAAACCATGCCTGTAAATTCTGGGATTCCAATCACAAATTTATTCAGAGGATTGGTGATACTGTGTCCCAAGCTGCTTTATGGTTCTTTGGATCCCTCCTAGGTCCCTGTGGGAATTCCTATGTGGGAGGTATAGATGTTTTCTTGACATACACAATACACCCTTCTCTGACTCTCCCTACCCCATGGAAATATCAATTCCCCTCTGTGGGGGAGGTATGGATATTTTCTGGAACTACTCGATATACCCTCCTCAGACTCTCCCCACCCCTTGCAAATCCCAGTCCTTCTCTGTTAGGGAGTTGTGGATATCTTCTGGAACTACACAATATACCTTCCTCAGTGACTGTCCCTCCTCAACCCTTTAAAAACATAATTTGCTAATTAAGTTACTTTAAAATACTTTTCTTTTATATTTTAATTTATACACGTTTGAGATACTGCAGTACTCGTTATCTACTTATAGTTCTTTCTTACCAACTGGACTAATTTTTACCATGACTACCCCACTGGGGTTAACTTTAGCCTGGTAAGTATTTTCAAATTCTCCCCTCTCTTCATGTGCGAATAAGTCTCTGATTTTACCTTTAGGGTGCGTAAAACCAACCATAGCAAAAGTAGCTGTTATTCGAACTGGTTGATCAAACCGCTTATTGAACAACACAACAGCCACAGACCCATCAAACAGATGCCGAGCCCAGACTTCTGTATATTTCTGCCGATGCTTTGTACCCCTCCACACACGACGACCTTGTTTTCCAAGCTTGTCTTGGTTAACAGCGATAACTTCTTTATTCAAGAGAATTTCTTTAGCCCAGGGTGCAATTTTACGAAGGTCATTGGACATAAACAGAGGGGCAGCAAGAATAGCCCAAATAGCAAATTGCGCCTTGGACTGTTCCAGGCTTAACCCAAAGTTACCAATAATCAACTGATCGGGATCGTTCCAGTGCCCTGGTCCTGCAATTTCTATAAGCTCCTCCTGCTGGTCTCCGTAGTGATCAATAATTTGAGCAACAGTTTGCCAAGAATCATTGATATCCACATAATTACGCCACAAATTACAATATTTCAAAATTTCTTTATAATTTGGTTTCATTCCTCGGAATATATGATAAAATGGCCAACTACAGGAATACATAATCTTTCGTCCAGTAGCATTTAGGAGTCTGGCAGCCTCTGGGTACCCCTTGTCGGTTTGGTCTGGGAGTGAATAACACCCGTCCATTTTCAGATAATCAACTCCCCAATCTGCAAAAGTTTGAAGGTCTTTTTTAAGGAAATCCAAACTCCCAGGATATCCCTCACAAGTGTATTTACCATAGTTGTTATAGATACCTAGTTTAAGTCCTTTTGAGTTGACATATTTGACCAATTTTTTAATACCGTTGGGGAATCTCTTAGGGTCTGCTACTAGCTCGCCATCAGGACCTCTAGTTTTGGTCATCCAGCAATCATCAATACAGACGTGATCGTACCCAGCGTCTAGGTAACCCTCGCACATCATGAGGTCAGCCATTTCCATGAATAAAGTCTCTTGAATGCAATCTTCGGGATCTAGCTTGCAGTCTACGTTACAACGAAACCTTTCCCAGGCCATCCAGCCCATTGGAGGCGTTAGAGCCATTCCATTGTTCAAACTGTTCACATCTTTTATAAGTTTACTCGAGAGGCAAATAACAATGAGAAAAAATGTGAACCAGGTAGTTCCTGTTGTTGATGGCCTTTGATTTTCCACGATTAGACTTATGAAAAACATCACTGTTCTTATTGATCACTCGATATAAAGTTAAGTTTCAGTCGACGTTGATATAAGTGCTTATCTCGATGAAAATGGGTAATCTTTCAGATTCCGTTAAATCAGCTGTTAAGCTTCGTTAAAATGTTTTCACAGACCACCAAATAATAAACTATGTAATGTCTACAGCTAGTGCATTCTGGGATAGGTGTTTTTCATCTTCCTGTGGGAGAGAAGGGTTGGGGTTTTTTTTATCTTTATTTTTTTTCTGTCACACTTGTCATGCTTTCTCAAAGTTTCAATCTTATATCTCTTTTGTGAGAGTAATAAGTACACAAATGCATTTTAGATAGATTGCATACCATAAATCCGTAAAAAACTTCGTAAAAAATTGCATAAATTTGCACAAATTAGTAAAAGTTTAAAAGTCCTTAGTAGAGTAGCCTCCGGTGGGGGGGGGGGGGGGGGNGGGGGGGGTACTCTTGTCCGTTTAGGGTAGGGATGTGCCGCTGAGCCCACTGAACCTTGACCCTGTTCCAGAGTAAAATCACTGAAATTCATACCCTGTTCTAGAGCAAGATCGCTGAAAACCATTACCTGAAAATGGATACCCTGTTCCAGAGAGGAGATTTCATATACCCTGTCCCAGAGCGAGCGCGATTTTATACACCCTGTTCCAGAGTAGAATCGCTGAAAACCATACCCTGTTTGGCGGCACGTACCCTTGTAGAAAATATAGGGGAGTACCCCCTCTCTCCGGGAGTAGCCTGCATTCATCAGGATGATTCAGCTGAACGCAGGCTAAGTAGACCGTAGACCTACAAAACTTTGCCCTAATTTGTGCAATTTTGTTAAAGTTTTTGCGGATATATGGTCTCATTTAAAATGCCTTTTCGACCAATTAGAGCGCGCGTTATAAGCTCTCATTTATTTTATGAAATTTATCGTATTTTTGTCATATTACAAAATATAAGATTTCCTTTAAAATTGCATTTTTTGTTTGTTTGTAGCTCGAGTTCATACTAATGAGGAAAGCATGTAGACAATGGCTTCCCTACATCTTCGGGATCTTCAAATTTCATTTAATTTGGCTTTTAATTTTCTGATTTTTTTCCCTTCGTTTGTTTCTTTTCTGTGAAATTTCTCTCATTAATCATTTTGTTTGGCAATTTTCTTTTCATTTTTTCGTTCATCTTTTACATTTTCCTTTGTCTGCTTTAGAAGTTTCAGTCCGTCGTTTCTTCAAAGATTTCATTTTATCTTTACCACCTTGACGCATTTTTAATTATAATCCAGAAAATCTACATTTCCTTGATAATGCCCTCTGACAAGCACTCGAGGTCATGTACAATGCTTGGTGACTCAAACCTCAAGTCCCTCAATCGCAACCAACGCAGTCCAGTCACATTGCTGAACTTCTCAGTCTCCATCTTCTCCCGCCTCTTCAACTCCTACATACCCAAGAACCCAGAACTGAAAAGCTCCCTACATAACACTACATCTTTTGACTTCGAAATTTTTCAGCACTCGACGAAATTGTAAGTAGAGTTCATGATGAATTGATGTTTTAAAGTACAAATACAACTTATCAAAACTTAACTTTCAAGTTGGATCGTTTCAATATGTCACCTATAGACTCGTCATAAATAATATTTCCAGACTGTAAAATTCACCATTAATATTGAGAATCGAGTTTCTTAAGATAAATTAGGAGTAAAGTTAGTGCATTGACTAATTACTTTTTAATGGAGCTAACTGATATTCATGTTTTTCTTCTCTGTAACCGAATCGCCTCGTCGTATTTGCCCTTTGCCAAAACAATTTTCGGTAAAAACTCCTATGTCTTGACTTACATAAAGCTTATTTCTCCATTATACAGGCCTTAATGAGAAATTTAAATTGTTTAGTTCCAATTAAATTGAATTTCAGCATMAGTTTTTACGACAAAGTTTATCTCTTTGTTGGGTGGCCTCTCAAAAATCTTTACGAGATCATTTTACCAATTCTAGTATATTTTTTTGCTCAGTTGAACTTTACTTCCAAGTGAAATTAACACCCGGATGAAATTATATATCAAAATATGAAATCAATTTCTTAAGTATGAATACAATTTTCAATATCCAGAATCCAAGGATTTTTTAAACTCTAAAAGCTGATCCTCGCCTCGCTGGACGAAAAGGAAATGGCTTCAGAAATTATAATAACATTCCCAGGTTTACTTAAGTAATTTCACCAATTATCTTCTTAGAAAATATAATCCCTGCGCCTGACACTTTGACGAGAACATAGTAAGCCCTAATCTTGTATTTTGTGGGTCATTCAATACCTAATCTAAAACATGGTAAAACTGTCTTGACCTTACAAGAAATTCGTGTTGATGGCCATCTTTGATTATCTGTTGCTGACAGTTGGTCAAATACCAAGCGTGGGTTCGTAATGATTCTAGCAATGTGTTTTCATGCTTTACGTCTCTGATATAAACCAGGGGTGAATCTAGGGGGTGGGGGGGTCCTGCTGTTCTCCGGACACCCCCCCCCCCCCCCCCACAACGCCGCTATTGATCTTACGCTTTTTTGAAAAGTGACTCGTGAAAGGCCTGTTAAAAGAAATATTTACTGACGATGCATAACATTTTTGTGTACATTTCTTTCAAGTTGGGAGACCCCACCCTAACAAATTCCTAGATCCACCCTAGAGAGCGGGTTCGCAGGCTAGTTCCATCCCTGATAACAAAACAAAAAACAAAACAAAACAAACAAAACAAAAAAATGGTGGGGAAGATAGGAAAACATTACGTTACAACTTTAAATGAGCTTGTTAAAAGATAGTCATTTTCGGGGCTCTATATCTCCACTTCTAAGAATCTCTACGCCCCCACCACTATCACTACGATCTCCACCTACACCATCATCGTTACGGACTGGAGGTTTAAAGCGAGTGAAAAACAAAATTCTAAAAGAAAAACGCATTTGAAAAAWTTTTTAATTTCTTATAACAAACCTTCAACTATTAAATGGCTTCTCTAACCACAGATGAAAATACTAGGCATTGAATACAATACAATACAATACAACCTTTATTTATGGGCAGTAAATATTTATTGGTATTAACCCAGGTCTTAACCCAAGGGCGGATCCAGGGGGAGGGTCGGGGGGTCGCGACCCCCCTGTCATTCCTGAGGTCAAATGGGCTTCCTGTGGTAAAAATGCGACTGGGATTCCTTTGCCCACAAAATTTACCCCTAAGAACCCCCCTTCAAAAAACCCTGGATCCGCCCTTGTAACCACTTGTTTTCCTGTGGTTTCCTCGTCCCGCCACTTTCCGTTTTGCTTCTTACTGTCGTATTAATATAAACTAAATGACACTGGTTAAGGTAAAGGAAAAAGAATAGTGAATCAGAGTGAATAACGTATAAAGGAATTAGAAGTTTTGAAGTTGGAGAAAAGAAGGAATGCTTTATTAATACACGGGTTTTTATCTAAGTTGCATCCAGGAATGCCACGAGAAACTAGTCTATTTATCTGATTCATTTGTTGTTTAATGAATTCCAAGGGCGGATCCAGGGGGAGGGTCGGGGGGGTCGCGACCCCCCTGTCATTCCTGAGGTCAAATGGGCTTCTTGTGGTAAAAATGCGACTGGGATTCCTTTGCCCACAAAATTTACCCCTGAGACCCCCCTTCAAAAAAACCCTGGATCCGCCCTTGAATTCACTGTAGAATGCACTGTTTGTTCCACTTAGAATTTTAACGCCGTCTGTTGTCTGGTAAGCCTGAAATGATTGGTCGGGTTCCCTGTGTTCCTCGATGACGTAATCTGTGGTCTCAAACCAATGTTCAAGGCCAGCGGTGCACAACAGTTTTTGATCGCAATCAAATTCAACAAGTCTGCTGAGATATCAAGATTGGTTTCCCTGGGTGTTGATGTTAACGCATGCGTAGATGCGGTAAGTTGCATAAATATCTTTGAGTTCTACTCTAGACGTACCTTAAGTTTCCTTTCAAATCACGCGGGTGGTTTAGCCGCGAGGACCCCGGAGCACTAAGAAGTGGAGAAGTGGGGAGGGGGACCTTAGATCAAAAGACAGAGCAGACCAGTATGTATAAGAGCATGTGGGACTTGAAAATGTAGTGATTTAGTGGATATTAACCACCCCCCCCCCCGAACACACACTTCCAACTTCCGTTAGTTAGCCGTGCCCTGACTTAGATCAGCCCAGAGGTTGTTTCAGGTTTCAATCTGGGAGTTAGCCGTGCCCTGACTTAGATTAGCCCAGAGGTTGTTTCAGGTTTCAATCTGTGAGTTAGCCGTGCCCTGACTTAGATCAGCCCAGAGGTTGTTTCAGGTTTCAATCTGGGAGTTAGCCGTGCCCTGACTTAGATCAGCCCAGAGGTTGTTTCAGGGTTCGATCTGTGAGTTATCCGGCGTACAGTAACTTAGATCAGCCCAGAGGTTGTTTCAGATTTTGACAAATTGCACAGCTAGAATACAATAGATTTTAGTTAGCAAAAGTATGTAACTATAAACTAATCTAAATTTAACTGAATTTAACCATTGCACTAAAATCTTTACGACAACGATTGCTTATTTGTTTTCATCCTTTTTGTCAGACCGGGAAAAAAGCCATTCATTTTGCCGTCCTCAAGAATCAGTTATCATGCGTTAAAGCTTTGATAACAGCCGGAAGTGACGTCGATGCTCAAGACGAGGTAAAAGACATATTAAATTATATATGAAATCACTGTTATAAATCTGACGTTCCGAATGGTTAGGAGCGCGTGCTTTATGGGAGCACACATCACATGCGCAAAATTTCAGTTGCGTCATTCGATCCTATTTTCTAAAATAGCAGTTATTGTAAGTTGCAATTTATTTTWAAAAAACTTGCTTTCTTGGAAAAACACTCGAGAAGTGTCGCGCAGCACTCCGCTACGCTTCGTGCTTCTCCTAACACTTCTCTCGTGTTCTGCAAACCGGCGCGTGCTTTATAACTGCACACTATCTTTATTCATTTCTCGTCTATTTCTTCATTACTCTCAACCACTTGCCTAAGCACGATATTTTTAATAAATTAGAAATTTAATAGCGTATTATATTTCATGTATATTTTCCTTTTTCGATCTCGTTTTCAATCTCGTTGATATAGCCCAATAATACGATATAGCCCAATAAGATGATATAGYTCAATGAGATGATACATAGCCCAATGAGACGATACATAGCCCAATAAGACGATACATAGCCCAATAAGATGATACATACATCTTATTGGGCTATTCATCATC